AAAGTTTATTATTCTAATATTTATTATATGTATGTGTGAGTGTGTGTGCACGCACACTCATGTTGGTCATTGAGAATTTCTGGGGTTCCTATGAGATGATGACTTGTAGGTGGTACTTGGATGCTTTGGTTGGATTAGGGGTGGTACTTGGTCCAAAACGTTTGAGAACCACTGGTCTAGTAGATAAGATTTGCCAGTGTTATTTTACAACCTGTTAAATCTGTATTGTATTGTGTTGTATTTTCTCTGCATGCAAAGGTAAGGTTCTGTGTGTTCTGTGAAAACAACTGGCTGCTAGCTGTTGAGATCACTTGGCCTGACAATTTACTATTCTTGACTAGATTTGCAAACATCTAGGCCGTGTCCCAATATGCACTCTTGCAGTCTTGTGCCCTTCATTCCCACTAAGGTGTGCAAGTGCTTAGGGTGTCCAATTTTTAATTAGAAACCATGCTGAAAAGAGAAGAAAGAAAACGCAATGTTTCGGCCTTGAAGCCGTCTTCAGGTGTGAGGTGTCTCCACGGCTGAAACGTTGTGTTTTCTTTCTTCTCTTTTCAGCATGAAATAAACATATTACTTGTGCCATTGCAGCCTACAAATGCTGACGCAGCCACCCACCTGAGCATTTTTAATTTCTGTTACACAAGGGTGCTCAGAAGCACCCTCGGGGCACCCTTTATGCACCCTTCTCTTAGCAGACTTCGCTGAAGGGAATTACTCCCAGTTCCTAGCGGAGTGGTGATGTTTCATATTCTAGCCTTTCAAAGCGGAGTGAGGTTGCCGTGGAGAATAAAATATTTGTGTGTTAGTAAAATTTTCATAGTTTTAGAACCCAAAATATTTTATGTCGAAACAAAATTCCACTAGGCTGCTTTGTACTGTATTCTAGGTATAAAGTGTTGACATAAAGCTTTTATTTCATCACCCCATTTTGACTGATGAAAATTTGTTTGCCTGCAGTTTGTTTTGTACACAGAAAAGTGAAGTATTTAATAGTACAAAGCTTTGAGGTATTTACAGTTTTCCTTTATTTAAATTTGAATAAACATGAATAGGTGCATTCTGTACCTTGTACAGTCATTTTCAGTAGTGGGGCAGACGAGATGAAATGTACTTAAAATTACAAAGTTTTTAATAATCAGAGATCAATATCATCAAGTTTGCCTTCGTTTACTTTGCTCATTTTGAGTCGAGCAGGGACAAAAGAGATGACATTCAATTTAATCAAACTGCGAGCAGAGAATAAAAAAAGTATTTAAAATAATTCTCTGCAGACGTGCACTTAGCCACTGGAAAAGAAGCATCAAGAACAGAAAGCATATTGACGTGAGCTGTGTAACCAGAGAGTGATGTCATGTGATGGTGTTCCATTACCCTTTTTGTAACAGTATACCTTTGAATGCTTGCACACATTAAGTCACACTTGCTCTGTGTCACAGAAGTTCAGACTTGGAGGAAGGGTTTAGGGCTTAGGGCACAATTTGGGACACGGCCCTAGTGGAAATTATGTGCTACTGTAATTACCACTGGAGGCAGACTGAGTATTAGTGCCATTCGTAGATCCTTTTATTTTCTCTGATTTTTTTTTAGTAGGGCAATATATTAATAATATTACCCATTTTTTGTTCAAGGGCATGTTTTCATTTGTTTTAAGTAATAATTCTGATTGGAACGGCAGAGAGAAATGCTGTCATTGAGCTAATTGTGTCTGTGTGCGTACTAACAGGTGCTTTATTTGCAGGTAAAACCCTTGAAGAACAAAATGTGAAACACAATTCAAAGATTATGATTTTAAATGCCAGTAAGGAGCAAAAGCAGAAGATTTTTGAGGCAGATGAGAAATATCGCTTTACAAATGAAGGTCTAAAGAGAACTGAGCAAGCTTTTCAGATTTTATCTGATAGAGGTAAGTATTAATTAATATAACCTTTCCGACATCCACTTCTTCTGATAGAACTGTAAACCAAAAATGATTTCGGCACCATGTATGACATGTATTGCACAATTTCAACACATTGTAATTGAAGCATTTTCTAAGGGATTTATTGGAAAGTTAAATGTTTTCTAATACATTATCACAGTCTGAATCTTAAAGTGTTTAATTTTGTAACATTCATTTTGTTTTAGGTGCATCAAGAATTTGCACAGTATAAAACTACCACGTTTTGCCTAAATGTAGTTTTACTTTTAATGGTTCAAGATCATTTTAACAGGCAGATGGAACTTTTTAACCTCTGTATTGATCTCAAATGTCTTAGCAGCTATAAGGCAGTGTAACGTCTTTTGAAAATGCTACATTTAACATGATCTTTTCTCAGATTGTACGCACCTCATGATTTTACCTACCAATCCCCTACAAAATTTCAAAATTGTGTTTAGGTATGCATCGAAACAACATGCTCATTTGATGTGCTGAAAATCCCAAGGCCCATATCCCCCCAGTCAATAACAAGTGACTTCACCACTTTTTTTAAATGTTATAACATACTTTCTCTACACATAAGTTAATAGCCACTCTCATCTTTTTGATCTGTGTTAATTTTATTGGAAATGCTTATCTAGTGTCATTTTGTATCCACATGAGTAAACCTGAATTATTTGTTCCAAGCATGGTATTGAAATTAGTTAATGCTACTTTGCAAGGATAGATAGATTGCAGGGCCAGGTAATTTAAAATGTTTAACCTGTGGTATGATTACAGGCATTGTCAAGTTTGCATGTGATGTATTCAAAAAGGCAGCTGACCTGACTTACTGTAGAATAGATGATTTATATTCAGAAGGGCAAGCTAAAATAATTGAAAAGCCAGAAAAAGAAATTGAGTGATTGAGGGAATTTTCTCCAAAATATTAGGATAAATCAGTTTGAAAGGAAGTGTGAAGCTTCATGTTTTTAATGCTGAAAGGGACAAAAATAACAGGTTAGTAAACTGTTTATACAGTATATAATGAAATGTAAAACAGCAGTGAGGAAAGAAAACTACCCAGATGGACAACCCTACATGATGGAAAACTACGGAAGAACACTTAGTGCCTATGGACATCATCACAGAAGGATTTGCTTTTTTTTTTCTGATTTCACACACGTTCTTATGCTTACCAGAGAGTTCCATTCCATGTGCTCAAAACCCTTTTCAGGATCTTAATTAAGAACTAAAGATGGCATTTTGGTATCGCTGGCAGTGTGAATCATGTGAATGATTCGGGGCTCAAGTCTGTGTGCAAGAACTTGTACAGCTAAGTGTCTAAATTTAACAGGGACAGGGGACAATAGCTCATACATGGAATACATGGTTCCTTTTCTTTATGAATTGTTTTTAGTAATAAAGAAATAATAGCAATTTAAAAAATCAGTTAAAAAAATCAGAATAGATTAATTAAAGACGCAGCATCACCTCTCAAGGTCTTAATAGAAGGAATATTCACAGAGCTTTAATTTTTGCAAAGTCTAAGACAAGAACATGGCTCAGTCTGGTGTCATGAAAATAATTCAGCTTCGACTTAATGTGTAATAAACTTCTCAGCTTCTTGCTGAGAAGAAGATTGAGTTTCTTCTTAGTGATAACCAATTAAAGCACAATGGTTTCAGAGAAAGATTTTTACTGTGTGCTGAGGGACTGCCAATTTAGAATCCAATTCTACAATTTCATGCTAACAGGATTTTTTAAAATTGGAAGCAAATGTAGTGCTTTGGATGAAGACTGTATCCCATGATTGCATCCCATAAAATGCGAGGATCACTTGCTTAACCATGGATTCATGTTTGAATTGAAATGTGTGTCAAAATGATAAATTCTTTCCTAGTGCAAAGCTGAAGGGTGTGTTGTTTTTTTTAAGGAATACGTTGTGTTACTTTAGAGTAAATTGCTTTGTGTTCTGAAATAAGTCTTGGTGAAATGTCTTCATAGTAACTTTCAGGGAAAATGGATTTTAACGGAAAAATTAAATCAGTCCTTAAGAATGATTGATTTCTCTGAATAAAACTTAGTTTTGAAAGATGAGATAAGCACTCAACTAACCCTAACCAACTCTAGATCAGATTTAAATATGCCCAGAAAGTGAGACCATGATATGGACTTGGTCTGTTAAACTCAAATTCAGATAGGTAGCATCTTTTGTAAATACTGGGAAGAATGATCTCTCTTCAGATCATTAGTCAAGCTGAGCAGTCAAGTGTTGTAGCAGCATCGTCTGTCCTCCAGGTCATTCATTTTGTCTTGGAATTTGTGGACTGTTTGAAAACTGTGCTGAATCTCTTTGTGTTACGGTACAAGCCAGATGAATTTTAGGACCCTATGCGGTGACTGACGGATATTGATTAAGTTGAAGGAGGATCCAAGCATACGAATCGTAGATCGAAAGCCGTGGTCAATGACCGGTTCGTAGGTCAGGAAGCCGAAGGTTCAGGAGTCAGGTAAATTGCTAGAAAGTCTTGGAAGTGAGAAGAGGAGCTCCGCTAGGTAATAACCAATACTGAGCATTGAGGTAAAGGTGGTGAGGGCTTAAGTAATCCGGGATGTGGAAGGTGCGGTGAAGAGAAAAAAAGGTCTGATTGGGTGCTTAGTTAATACAACGGCGTTTGTTGGAATTGGAAAGGACTGAAGTCTGATTAGGAACAATGCGGGATCTGTTGCCTGTGGTAGGGTTCTGATTGTGGGCAGTCATGACACTTTGGTAGTCTGATGCAAATCTACTTTCAGAATGTTTTCCATTCCTAATGCCCCAGTATAGTGACGGGAACACTATACTGTAATCAGGCGCCGTCCTTTGGATGAGACGTAAAACCGAGGTCCTGGCTCTCTGTGGTCATTAAAAATCCCAGGCTGTTTCTCGAAAAGCATAGGGGTGTAACTCTGGCGTCCTGGCCAAATTTCCCATTGGCCCTTACCAATCATGGCCTCCTAATAATCCCCATCTATGAATTGGCTTCACTACTCTCCTCTCCTCCCCACTGATAGCTGATGTGTGGTGAGCGTTCTGGTGCACTATGGCTGCCATCGCATCATCCAGGTGGGGCTGCACATTGGTGGTGGTGGAGGGGAGTCGCTATTACCTGTAAAAGCGCAATATAAGTGTAAGCAATTTATTATTATTATTATTATTATTAT